GTGTGTGTGTGTGTGTGTGTGTGTGTGTGTGTGTGTGTGTGGAAACCTTACCATCTGGCATGCTGACAGAGCGCTCTGGTAGGTCGCTGGCATTGTCAATCACTGAGACGGTGACCTCATAGGTGGCAACCAGCTCCCGGTTCAGGGGGGACTTCACCATCACAGACCCTGTAGACCAGACCAGGTCAGGTTCAGGCCAAAAGGAGGCCAAATTCTGGGCCTCCCAGGCATGCTCCTGGCCAACCCTCCCGATCCCCATGAGGGCAGTGGTCCCCAAAGGACCTGGGATGTGCTGGTCTCATCTTTGGCTGGGATGAGACCACAGTCAACTGCAAGCTGGGGCACGTCACTCTGCCCATCATTGCTTACTAGCTGGTGACCCTGGGCACATTATTTAACCTCTTTGCACCTGCTTCCTCATTTTAAAACAAGCGTAATTACAGTACCTACCGTATAGGCTATTTTGAGGATTACAACAATTAAATGAGTGTAAAGGGCTTAGAACAGTGCTTGGTATATAGAGAACCATGTAATTGTTTAAAAATGCTTGTATTCCACCACAATGTGAGTATACTGAGCACCACTGAATGTACATTTAAAGATGGTTAACGTGGTAAATTTCGTTATGTCTATTTTATCACAATTTAGAGAATGCTTGTATTCTAGGGAGATCAAGCATAAAGGAAGGTCAAGGCCACTAAAACTCTGGAGTGGATTCCCTGGAGGGAACAACCTGGATAGTCAGGACTACTCCTGTGTCTCCATTAAGTGGGGCATAACATGGGCTGACGGTGGGAAAGGAACGCAGTCCTACATTAGTACTAGCAAGTTGTCTCCTACCCACTCCCTCCCAGAGCCCCTACCTGCTCCCCATCACAGAGGAACCCTCCAGAGACTTAGAACTGGCCGGGACAGATCTAGTGGGGCTGATCTGTTGGGACCTCTCTGCTTCCTGCCTGTTGGAGGGCCTGGTGGCTCCTCCTCCCATCAGCCGCATCTAGGGCGAAACCACCCCTCTCTCTTTCCAGCACCCTCGCAGGCACTGAGGCCTCTGGGGTTCCCTGTCCCCTCGGCAGACCCCCCTGCTGGGCTTCTGTCCTCCTCGGGTCCCCAGCCATGGGGCAGTCACTTACCCTGGGCTGCTGCCTCCTCCTCCTTCTCCTCTTCCTACTCTCGCTCCCGTCCCCGAGGCTGGGGAGCGAGGATGGGGAGAGGGGGGGCTGCATTCAGTCTGCAAAGGCTGGGCCACGGCCTTGGCCTGGGCCCCATAGGATGGGGAGGGTGGTGGGGCTGCGGTGGGTATGGAGGAAGGCATGGGGTGAAGCAGAGTAGAGATGAGGTGGGAAGTGACAGAGAAACAGAGCTCAAACCTGTGGGCCTGCCAGTCGTGAAGAAAAGAGAAGAGGGTTAAATCAGTTAGTTCGGGGTGCAGAGGGGATGCAGCAGAGCAGGGCACAGGGGACGGTGGGGCTCAGTGTTGATCAGGGCAGGAGGTTTTGGAGGGAGGCTGTGGAGCAGAAGAGGCAGAGGGGAAGGGAGCCAGGGAAGCACGTGGGAGCCCAGCTGCCTAGGAGAGGAAGGGGGAGGGAAGGTGAGCAAGGAAGGTGGGGGAGAGCATGAGGAAGAGGGGGCAGAGAAGACACTGGAAAGAAAGATAGAGAGAAGCCAGTCAGTCGGAGGGAGGGAGAACAGAAAAGAGGACCGTGGTAGAGGCACTAGTAGGGTATAGCATCAAGTCGGGCATGGGGGTGGAGCTACTCTCCATGGTCCTAACCAATCACTGCAGCTGGAATTTTGCTAACCTGGGACATGGCTTAACCTACTTGACTTCTCCTAGTGCTCACGGTTTTCCTGTCTTCTTTTTTCCTTTGGATCTCAGATGCATAATGAGTTAATCATCCTCTTTAGTTCATTGCACACTGTGGTGATTGGCACCATTCTTGTTTTATGTATGTCTATTCCCTTTTATTTCCCTACTCCTTGCCCCTTCCCTTCTTCTCTAGGGCAAATATTATAATGCATTGAAGTGTATTTTTAAACTTTATTGATTTTCCTGAAAATTATGTATTGTTTTGAGTATATGTATCTTATATTTATGCAAATGGCATTGGGAGATACATATATACATATCTCCCGTCCTATTTCTTTACTCTTTTCAGTAAGTTCTGATTTTTAAGTACTTACTTAAATGTTGCTCTGTGTGAGTCTAATCTGTTGCTTCTAACTGCTTCCTGGTATCCAATGTTATGCACCCATAATATTTTAGCCTCCAATCTCCCAAGGATGGGTGCCCGGGTGGCCTCCAATTCCTACCACCAATAACATTGCAGTGAACATCCTCAGATAGTTCCATGATTGACCTGAGAATTTCTTTGGGACATATACCCAGGAGCAGAATTGCTGGGTCCTGGGGTATGAGTGTACTTTGTGCTAGATTGCTATCTGTTAGTGAAATTGGTCTAAACTCCTATAGTGGTGTATGAGGGTTCTGATGTCCCCACATTTTGACCAATACTCAATATTGCCCAGCATCCTAATATCTGCTAACCACATTTGGAAAACGACCTTATTTGGGTTTTACTATGCATTTCTCTAAATAACAATGATTTTTAGCATTTTGTAACAGCCATGTTAGTGTTTCTGTCACTCCTCTGGGCCTTCCAAGAAGTATGCCTGTAAGGTCCCATGTAAGGTCCCCAGCTCTGCAGAAGAGCAAAAACACTGAACTTTTGGAAGAATGGTAAAACCATCAAAATTATAATAAGCTGCATAAATCACAAAAGATAGGTCACAATTCTCTGTGTTTTGTGATAGTGTAAGATCATTAATTATATATAATTATATTATTATAATTATAACATAACATTATAATATATAATATATACTTATTTATATATATATATAAATATATAAAAACTTTATAACATTTAATGCTGGCAAGAGTGTGGTGAGATGGGAACTCTCATACAACACTGATAGACTGAGAGAATCAGAGAGGGAGGTGATCACGGGAGGAGGAAGAAGAGAAAAGAAAAAGGGAAGGAGCAAGGGGGGAGATGGAAAAGAGAAGGAAGGACGTGGTGTCAATGGAGAGAAGAGAGTAGACGGAGGAGCAGCTGAGGAAAAGGGGGGAGGGGGGAGAAGGTGGAAGAGGGAGGAGAGAGAGAGAGAGAGAGAGAGAGAAAGAGAGAGAGAGAGAGAGAGAGAGAGAGAGAAAGAGAGAGAGAGAGAGAGAGAGAGAGAGAGAGAGAGAGAGAGAGAGAACACAGAAGAGGGAGGTGAGGAGGAAAGTAGGGAACAAAGAGGCTGGGGAGGGAGTCGGGACTAGGGTTGGGAGGGGAGCAGGCCCTTGTACCTGTATTGATATTCACAGCAAAGGCATCCTCCTGGTCAGGCACCAGGCGGTCAGTGTCATCCTTGGCCACGATGCTGATGATGTGGTACTCCAACATTGGATTGAGGTCACGGTCGATGGCGGTGACATTGGCAATGACAGTGCCTGGCTCAGCTGACTCTAGCACGCTCACCGTCTGGATGGGGTTGATGAACTCGGGGCGGCAGTCATTAACATCATCGATAAGGATAGTGATGATGACCGTGCCCGAGAGAGGGACGGTGCCTCGGTCAGTGGCCACCACTGTCAGCCTGTAGGATTCCTGCTCTTCCCTGTCAATGGTAACATTGCCGACACGGATGACCCCAGTGACCGGGTGGATGTGGAAGCGGTCCTGAGCCCCGGCCTCTATTCGGTAGACCAGTTCCCCATTGAGGCCACTGTCCTCATCTGTGGCTGTGACCTGAAGGATTGATAATCCTGGGGGGTGGGAGGGAATGGAGAGTAGCTGAGGACAGTGGCTCTTCTAAAACCATCACACCAACATACATTTATTGGGGGTTCACAATGGCCCCTTCTCACCACAGCCTTGCCACAATATACCTTTTATACATTTTTCATGTTTGCAATTTTGTAGGAAAACAGTATCTTATTTTACATTGTTTAGTTGTGAATTGAACAATTTTAAATAATTTAATGATTAGTTGTATCTTCTGCAAAATTGTCTGCTTTTGTCCTTTGCCCATTTTCTGTAAACTTATACAAATTATATAATTATAATAACTTGTGACAAATATCTGTTTTTCATTATGTTGTTTGACTTTCAATATTGGTTATAATTATTTGATGTAAAGAAGTTTAAATTTTGTATGCACTGAAATATAAATATTAAAAATTTAATACTTTTCCTTTTTAAAGTTCTTTTTTTTTCTTAATATGCTTAAAACCTTCTTGGGGTGACTGGTTACCTCAGTTGGTTAGAGTGTGGTGCTACTAACACCAAGGTTGCCAGTTCGATCCCCGCATGGGCCACTGTGAGCTGTGCCCTCCTTAAATGAGTCAACTATGCCATTGTAGCATGAAAGCAATGTGTAACCAATGACCATGGCTGTTCCCCAATAAAATTAAAAAAACAAAACAAAACAAAAAAACCCTTCTTATCCCAAAGTCAGATCACCTAAAGCTTCTTTTTTCATTTTTTAATGTTCTCTACTTTTGTATTTTTTTCTTTAGAATGTCTTTGGATTTTATTTTGGTGTCTGGTATGGGGAGAGAATCTACACTAAATATTAATGGGTGTTTTGCATACTAAATAGTTGGCTTTCGCTACTGATTTCATTGTTTCCTTTATCACATAATATTACTTATTTTAATTTACTGGTATCTATTTCTGGGTTACTTTGTCCCAGACTCTTGTGCTCATATCACAAGAAATTTTTTTTAAATCAGTCTTTTGAAATATCTTTAATGGGAAAATGCTCAAAATTCAGTGTGTTATTAAGGGTACAAAATATTTCAGAAGGTACAAAATTAATATTTTGTAATAGAATACATCATAGAAAAGTAACTAAATGGAACTACCGAAATATTACTATTTGTTTTCTCCAAGTGGAAGGACTGGCTGATATGAAGGTCTTTTTTTTAGACTTCTCTTACATCAAAATTTACTGCAATGAATACATACTACATTGCATTTGTATTCAGGTTATAATATGAAAAATAAGCTTCATTAAAAAAAATCACAATATATACAAGAAGAGCTTTGCAAGTGGTCTTGGGGAGAGTTAAAAAGAAAATAAAGGAAGACACCGACTGTGATAATAAAGTAACAGTAACCATAGTTGTCACTTATTGGCTGCTATTTACGTGGTTTTAAATACTGTAGTTTTGTAATATGCTTTAATATCTGGTAAGGCAAATCTGGCCTTATTATTTTTATTTTTCAAGATGTTTCACTCTTCCAGAAGACCTTTAGAATCAAATTTACCCCCAAATCTTATTTGATTTTGATGGGAGTCACATTAAACCTAGTTTGATTTTAAAACAGTTGGTTTTTCCATCCAGGAACATGAATGGAACGTATCTAAATCCTCATGTTTTGCAGACAAGACCCTGTGGATCAGAGAAGAGAAGGGATCTGGGCCTCCTAAATCTCTCTAGGGCTCTCTCCACTCACTCTGCTGCCTAACCTTCTCTCAACTGGAGGTAACTTCTGCCTCCAATCTGTGAGGCTCCAATTCCCACAGACCACCACCGAGCTCCTGCCTGGGGGCTGGGACTGGGGCCTGTGGCCGCTTACCTGGCGGGCAGTTCTCCAGCAGGTGGATGGTGAGGGCATCAGGGTTAAAGGTGGGCCAGTTGTCATTGTCATCCAAGATGGTGATAAAGAGGTCAGCTGTGCCGTTGAGCAACCCAATGTCCTCAGCCAGCAGCAGCAGCTCCAGGATGGGAGGTGAGAAGGCTTCTCGGTCAATGACAACACCTGAGCTCACTGTCACCACGCCTGGCACCCGGCACCACCAGCCGAGGAGATGCAAAGGGGTACAGTGGGGAGGCAGGGTAAGAGCCAACCAGCAGAAGGCAAAGAAGAGGGTACGATATGGGGAAGAGATGAAAGAGGAGCAGAGAAAGGAACAAATGACTTTCTTCCCCAAAGGCTCAACAACCAGTGTTTAAGGTGGTCCCCTAACTGCCAGTCTCCTGGGATTGCCCCCTCCCCAGGTGCCCTCTGCAATTCTCCAGAGTCCTGCCTGGAATGAGTGACCCAGGGTGGAGGGTTGACCTGAGCTATTGAGAGAGGTGCTAGTAGTATAGCCCTCTTTGTTGTCTGTCACCTGTCACCAAATTGGCCAACTGTCTAGGACCAGACTGATGCGACAAGGTCTTGGAGAGCGCTGGGTCTGATTTGGGGATAGATCTTTGGCTACTTCGGCTGACCAGAGGCCTGAATCTCTGGCCTGGGCATGGGGAAATGGAGGGAGTGTGATGAGGGCGCTCTGTCTAGGCTCAGAGTTTATGCACTAGCAGGTCCCTTGTGCTGTCCTCAAGCCTCCTCCTGGGTCCTCCCACCTGGACCCCAGGTGGCCTAATTCAGCTGTGAGATGGGGGCTGTGAGGAATGGGGTCTCCACAGAGAGCCCAGATCCTGCACTGAGAAAGGAGGCCCTAGATCTAGCAGTGGGCTCACTCCCAGCCCAGCTGGAAGACATGGAGCCAGGCTGGGAGTGCTGGGGGGGCGGGGGCGGGGGGAGAGGGGGAAAGGAGCAGAAGCCTCACCAGTACTGTTGTCAATGTCAAAGAGACCACTTTGGGCACCCAGCAGCTGGTAGGTCACCACGGCATAGACGTCCAGGTCTGCATCCAGGGCCAGGATGGGCCCGTTGAGCACCGTGATGGGGGTCCCTGGGCCAGGTGGACAGGGGTTACTGCAGGGCTGACCAGCCCCCCCGCCCCCCTCCCCTACCCTCTTCCCGGTGAGCCATGGTTGACAATGGATGAGAGGGAGGGAAGTGAGGTGGACGGGATGGGGAGGCCCTGGGCCCGGCTGCGGCAGCCTTGGCAGACTGACGCAGATGCCTGGGGAGCGGCCTCAAAGCCCTGCTGGGAGAAAACACAACAGTGGTGAGCAAGCCCCTTTGGCCCGCCTGCAGCACGCCTGCCTTCCCAGCAGCCTTTGAGGCTGGCCACTCCGCCGGAGGGTCTGAGGGCTCCCTGACATCCCCTCCTGTGTGGGGGCCCTGTCTAGGTATGCACACCTCACCCAGTCTGTTCACATGTGTGTGTACACAACACTATTTACAGATGTCTGACCATACATGACTAGGAATCCACGTGTGTGTGGGACTCCGTGTTCACATGGCCATGAGCATGCACACGGGAGCACTTGCAGGCCTAGGAGTTCCCTGGTTGTACACCTGCCTGCTTCTGCAGGTGGGCACACCTGTACATGGAGTACACTGTGTAGCACCCGCATGCCTGTGTGTGTTTATGCACACATGTAGGCCCACCCATGTGCCCTGGCAAGAACATGTCCTGGCACATGTGTGAGCATTTACACAGGCAGGATTAAGGAACAAGTTCATGTAGGGGGACGTCCAGCCAGAGACAGGGAGTATCTCAGCTCATCTCTTTCTGACTTAGACTATAAGCTTGGGGGGATGGAGAAAGAGTGAGGGGGCCTCCCTGGGGGACAGTAAAGAAGAGATTCTATCCCTCTGAAGAGAGGTAAAGATAGTCAATGCGTGTGTGTGTGGAAGCGGGGGGGAAGAGCATTGCTGGGCTACCCAGGCCCCCCTGGCCTCCCACCTCTGATTACAGATGTTTCCTAAGCTTCCAGAAGCCTCTAGGATACTCTGTGCTCCTGGGGTGGAGGGAGCAGGGAGGGGTGGGCTTCCTTCCATCCTGGGCAATCCTCACACTTAAGTACCCCGCTTGGATGGCGGTGGGGCTGCTTTCAGATCACCTTGGGGATCGATGACTTCCAGCCTGACATGTGGCCTCTTTGGTAGCCCCAAAGAGGGGCCCACCAGCCCCTCAGAGCTATGCCCCTTCCTTTTCTCTATGGAGGGGTACCCGCCAGCTCTGTATTTGGCCATATGGTGAGGCTGCCTCCCCAGCCAGGCCTCAGCTGGGTCCCGATCAGGCACAAGGTGGATCGTAGGCATCTGGGGCCCAAGTGGTGCCTGGCTGCAGCAGGTGTTCCCAGGCGGGCCCAGCACCTACCAGCAGGAGAGTTCTCCATCACCTCTGCATGGTAGGTGCTCTCAGTAAAGATGGGGTGGTTGTCATTCTCATCCGCAAGAAAGATCAGCAGGAAGTCAAAATCCTGTGGGGAGTATGATGGGAGGGCAGGTTGTAGGCCATATTTTAGCAAAGTGCTCCGGTGGGAGGAGGGCTGGAAGGTGGCGCGGGGCGAGGAGGGGTCAGGGCACAGAGGTAGATGATTAAAAAGCTCACAGTAGGGGTCCAGAGACCTGGGTTCAAGTATCTTCTGTGTTAGCAACTCACTGGCTGGCCTTGAACAAATAATTTCCCTGATCTGGGCCTCAGTTTTCCAATCTGGCAAATGGGGATCTTAACTCCCTTACAGAGGTGTTGTGAAGTTCACAGCACACTATCTCCACCGCAGAGGTGAGGAAACCAAGGCCCAGAGGGGGTGACTATTCAAAGCAGCATGGCAAGTTAGCGGTAGAGCGGGCCGAGTCACCCCACCACTCAGTGCTGCTGCTTCCCAGGGTGACCCAGGCCCTCCTACAGCACAAGCAGAGAAGGGAGAATGAGAGGAGAGAAAAGAGGGAGGGAGGAAGTGAGAGAAGGACGGCAGGCGAGGCGCACAGGATGAAGGAGGCCAGTGGCTTCTGAGTCCCTCCAGCCTGAAGCCTCCTCGGCCTACACACATGGGGAAACTGAGCACAGGGGAGGGCAGTGTCTTGGCTGAGCCACGCAGTTAGTCAGAAGCAGAGCTGAGAGGAGCCGGACCCAGTGACTCTCTGCCAGGGCCCTGCCCCAGACCTCCTGGGCTGGGAAGGGAAGGCTGACCCTTACCCCAAAGGGACCGTGTGCTTGCAACACCCACCTCCTCTTAGTAAAGAGAAACAACTTCTTTGGCTTTTGAGGGGGAAAGCCACACTTTGGGGAAAATGCAACCCTTGCAGAACCCCAGACATGTGTTTTGAATGCATGCAGGCCGTATGCACACACGGCTATGGTGTATGCCCACGTGTCAGTGGTGTGAGAAGAGATGATAGCTGAGTTTACTGAGTGTTTGCTGTGTGCCAGGCACCGTGCTGAGGACTTTACGGATAATGGCTCCTTCAAGTCATCTCCACAACTTTGGGGCAGGTATGATCTTCACTTTGCAGAAGAGAAAGAAAATGGAGGCTGAGAGAAATGGACTGGCCAAAGCCACACACCCACTGACAGGAAGAACTGGGATTTGAACCCAGCACTTGCTCACTCCAAAGCCTGTGCATCAAACTACCTGGCCAAGCTGCCAGCGTCTTAGTACCCAGCCCGTTTCCTTCCCACTCCACCCCCTACCCCATGCCCTCCAGCCTCACCCTCCTGGCTATGCGTGGATTCTCTGGGTTGTCCTTCACGGAAATGGTCAGCCTGTACTGTGGGATCCGCTCGCGGTCCAGGGGCCGGTTCACGGTGACGATCCCTGTCTGGGATGTGGAGGGCTTGTGAGCTGAGCAGTGACATGTTCCCCACTTTGAGCCCTGGCCCATAGATACCCAAGTGTTCTGCCAGCAGCTTTAAGAGTGGCTGTGAATCCCCTCCTTAAATCACCAAAGATATGGCTTAGAAGGCCAAATTGGGCTGGCAGCGTCTTGCTAGGGCAAGAGTGACCCATCAATGCCTAGGTCTTGCTGCCTCAAGGGGATGGGTCCTCTGAGGATGCCCTGGAACCAGCAGCTGGTACACTCCAAGAGGTCAAGTGAGGACGTACAGGGGTGCCTTGGTACAAACCAAGTGGTACTGAGGCTCTGGCCCCATCTCTGCACATGACAAGCCTTGGGGGTGACAGGGATCCCAGAGAGGGCTCAGCTGGGAATCCAAGGTTCCATGCCTCCCACAGAGACTCTGAGTCCCAGTGGCCCGAGGAGGCTTAAGGAGGAAATGGAACCAGGAGGAGCTCAGACAGCCGACTAGCAAAGCCTCTAGGGCAAGGTCCTCTTTTTTAAGGACAAACCCTGGGGACCTCCCTTGGGCCAGTCCCGGCCCTACCGTGGCATTGATGGCGAAGGCCCGCTCCCGGTTGCCTGCCGTGATGTTGAAGGTGAGGAGGGCATTGCACCCGCTGTCAGCGTCACTGGCCAGGATGTGGGCGACGAAGCTGGAGACAGGGCTGTTCTCACTGACGGTGACGTTCATGGGCAGGTTCAGCAGCACAGGGTCGTTGTCGTTGATGTCCAGCACCCGAATCCCTACCAGCATCTGGGGCATGTCAGGAGGAGGAGGGGGACAGAGGTGAGGGAGGAGGACAAGGAGAAAATGGGGACATGGGGAGACACAGAAGAGAGAGAAGGAAGAAAAAGTGATGGTGGGCATGGTAGTCGAGGAGGAGGTGATGGGTGAGACAGGGCAAAGGGGTGGTAATTGAGGAGGAAGATGCGGTTGGTCATGGAGAAGAAAGAGGAAGAAGTAAATGATAATGAAAAAGGCAACAGGATGAAAACGAGGATAAGAGGGAAGCAGAAAAGATAAAGAGGCAGAGGCAAGCTGGAAATGGCAGGGTGACAGGGGCAGAGGCCCACTGCAGGCCCACTGACAAGGCAGCCCGCCCCCCACCCCCACCCCAGAGACCCGCATGGCTACGAGGCCCCAGGTCCAGGCTCCATGGGTGAGCCCCGAGAGGTACTCGCAAGTCAGTTAGTGGCCCTGAGTGTCTGGGCTGGCTCCAGAGTAGGGTGTGGCCTATCTGGGCACAAGGGTGCCCACTGGGCACAGTGTTTACAGGGTCTCTATGGAGAGCTCAAGGGGCAGCAAGATAAAGCCAGTAGAATGGGGCTCCCAGACTCACCGTGGAGCTGAGGGGGGGCACCCCCCTGTCGCGGGCACAGATGGTCAGGTTATAGAAGGCAATTGTTTCCCGGTCCAGTTCCACATCCTTCCGGACGCGTAGCACACCCTCCACAGGAGAGATCAAAAACTCCCCTGGTGCCACCCAGGAGAGGCCGGAGTTAGCTGGCAATGGCCAAGAGTGATGGACAGCCCAGGCCTCTCCCCACTCCCCCTAGCAAGTCTTACTCGCCAGGGGTGGGGGACAGTCCTCCAATGCCCCCAGCTTCAGATCCTCATGGGACCTGCCAAGGGCTGGGAAGTGTAGAAGGAAG